GGAAATTTTGGGAATTTTAAGGATTTTTTGGGGAATTCTTGGGGAAATTTTGGGTAATTTTGGGGGAATTTTGAGGGGAATTTTGGTTTTTTTGGGGGATTTTTTATTCTTTTATTTCCTCTTCATTCTTTTATCGATTATTTAATTTTATTTATTTTTAATAATTACACATTATCTTATTGACTTTTTAATTACTCATTCTTTTCCTTTTGTTTGTTATTTATTCTTTTATTTGTTATTTATTCTTTCATTTATTATTTATTCCCTTATTATTTATTTTTTATTATTCATTATTCATTATTTATTTCTTTTTATTCCCTTTAATCTGATTTGTTCTATTTATTTTTTATTCTTTTATTTTTTATTCTTTTATTTATTTTTTATTCTTTTATTTATTTTTATTCTTTTATTTATTATTTATTCTTTTATTTTTTATTTTTTATTTATTATTTCTTTTTTCATTTCTTCTTTTCTTTATTATTAATTTTTATTTCTTTTATTTTTTCCCATTAATTTTATTTATTAGCCTTTTTTTTGGACTTATTTTTTATTCTTTATTCCTTTATTTATTATTTATTCTTTCACTTCTTCTTTTCCTGATTTATTATTTTAATTAATTTCTTTTCTTTATTCCCATTAATTTTCTTTATCCGGCTTTTTTTTGGATTTATTTTTTATTCTTTATTTTTTTATTTATTATTTCTTCTTTCATTTATTCTTTATTACTTATTTTTGTTTCTTTTCTTTATTCCCATTAATTTTCTTTATCCGGCTTTTTTTTGGATTTATTTTTTATTCTTTATCCCTTTATTTATTATTTTTTTAATTAATTAATTCTATTTATCATTGTAAAAAATAGAAAATAATATACAAATATATAAAAATATATATATAAAAATATATAAAAAATATATATAAAAATATATATTAATAAATATATATAAAATATATATAAAAATATATATAAAATATATATAAAAATAAATATAAAAATATATAAAAAATAAATAAAAAATATAAAATATGTATAAATATATTAAAAATATAAAAATAATTTATATTTTCCCCGCAGTCGGCCGACACCACCTCCCTCTCCCACCTCGTCGCCGGGCTCAAACCCAACACCGGCTACGAGTTCTCCGTCCTCGTCACCAAGGGCCGCCGCTCCAGCACCTGGAGCATGACCGCCCACGCCACCACCCACGAGGCAGGTCGGAAAAAATTCCTGGAAAAAAATC